TTATTAAGAAATAATTTTTATTTTTATATTAAAATAAAGTTTATTAGTTATAGTTTAATATATATTTTTTTCAGATTATTTAGATTTTTTCTAAAAGAATTACTCTAATTATAAATTAATACAGAAATTTTTATTAATTATATTTTATTTTTAATTAATAAAAATATGTTAACTAGAGAACTTTAAGTTAAAAATAAAAAATATTTGTTAGTAAAATTAAAAACTTTTATATATAAGAAAAATCACATATTTTACTAATAATAATTAGTAAAAAATTTAAGTATTATATTATTTTTGATTTTTACTATATAATATTTTTTTAAGTATAATTAATAAAGATATATATATATATATTATTTTTATATTAAGTTAATCAAAATATCTTCACATAATTAATTATTAATTAATAAAAATATTAAATTTTTTAAATAATAAAATATGTTATAAATAATAAAATTTTATTTTAATTTTAATTTAAATATAAAAAAGTATTAAATTTAAATATAAAAAAGTATTAAATTTAAATACTTATAATTTTTTATATAAATATTATTTTAAAATTCTAATTAAAAATATATTTTAAATAATAATATTATCAATTTATTTTTTTTAAATTTTATTTATATAAATTTTTATAGGCTTTTAAAAATATCTAATTTTTATTATCAAATATAAATTTTCATATTATATATAATAAAATTTTATATTAACTCTCATAATTATAAAATTAAAAAATTAATCTTATTAATAAAATATAATAAAAATTAAAATTTTTATATTGAACTTTAAAATTTTATTAAATAATAATTTTATCTTATATTAAAATAAAATTATAAAGTTATATAAAAAAATATTTTAATTTTATTATATGCTATTAATAAATTAATTTTCTGATTTTGTAATTATGAAAGTACTTATAATTTATATAGTTTTTAGATTTTTTTAAAGAATTATTCTAATTATAAAAATTTTTATAATTTTCTGATTTTATAATTATAAAAATACTTATAATTTATATAGTTTTTAGATTTTTTTAAAGAATTATTCTAATTATAAAAACTTTTATAATTAAAAAAATATATTAACTATATTTATTTTTAAAAATAAATTATTTTTAATAAAATTATAAATTTTAATTTAAAGATAAAATTTTATAATTTTATTAATTATAATATTTGTAAAAAATTTTTAAATTAATTATATATTTAAAAAATAAATTTACTTAAAAGTATTTATAAGTTATAAATCAATTAATTTAAATTATAATTATTAAATCAGCAAGTTTTTACTTATTAAAAATTAATTAATATATTAAAAATTATAATAAAAAATTGCTAGTATATAATATTAATATTACTTATTATTTAAAATTATATAAATCTTTATTATTAATAAATAACTATATAATAATATTATTAAAAATTAAAATAAAATTCCAAATTAATTTTATTAATATTAATAATTAATATATCAAATTATAATTATTATTAAAAATTAAAAATTTATTTGAAATTAGAATATTAAGAATTGAAATTTTATTTTAATAAAAATTTAGCTATATTTGATTTAATATACTGTATATTAATTATTAATATTTGTAAAGTTATATTAAATTTATTGATATTTAATTCTGAATTAATCTAATTATAAACAAATATACTATAAAAATGAAAGAGAATAAAATTACTTTTATATTCAATATAATTGATAAACTATCTAAATTTTAAAAGCATTATTATTGTCATGAGTTCTCGCACATTTTAAGCATTTATTTAAATTTAATCTTTTAATACAATTTCCCTTTCTACAAATACTTTATTCTAATATTTATCTTTACTCTTCAATATATCTATAACAATATGTTATATTTCGAAATCATGGACTATTCACGTGAATTATAAATAAGTTGCGTAGATAAATTGTAATCTTTTAATTTTTTTAATTATTCATTTCCTCCCAAACCATTCACTACTATTTATTATTAATATATAATATATTAAATATGCTAATTATACTATTGTCAAAAAATATTCAAAAATAATTATATACAGAGACTAATTTTTCGCCAACTTTTGGCACCTGATTCTCCTCTGATTTTGCAGCTGACATCACAAGATCATCAACTTTTCCGGTTGACTTTCTCGAATTAAATTTAAGACTTTTGGAATTTCTGATTTTTAATGGTAGACTGCGTCGTCGAT